AGTATCCTCATAGTGAACGGCTGATCTCTTATAAATGATCTCTTGGTCGTCACCCGGTATATCCGTTTTTGCCTTTGACTAGCCGATCGATTCGTAGTATATTTTTTAAGTGTCTTACCACAGAATATGAAGTTATCTCTGCGCCTGAAAATTTATACAGGGTGGACCGACAATTTTTTGGGTAGTTGGGGACGCTATTTGATGATTTTTAGTGAAATCCGTAATGCTCTAAGGGAAACAGCAACCGAGATATATTTTTTTTTCTTTCATTTTCACGTTTAATTTCTTGCAATTGCGCATAAATACCTTTATAACTACCAAAATTGTGCGGAGTGAAACAAAACTTTGAAATTCGAAATTCTAACCTTTTTTAGAGGTTAAGTTTATTTAAGAAACTCCTGTGGCTTAGTAGGTACCTTTCCTCATCATGAGAATAATTTGTTGGGTGAAAAAAATAACAGAACATTGTTGGTTAGGTTCAGGAACAATGTTCTTCACGTTTTCATTTGATTTGCCGGCCACCTCTGTTGTGTAGACTAATTCCTTCGCTTCGCGCCAGACCTAAAAGTCCAAAGGCGTCAGGTCTGGACACCGTGGAGGCCATGGAATAGGACCACCTCGACCAATCCACGAGTTTGAAAGACAATTGTCAAGGAACTCTCGTAAGGGTTGGACATAATGCGCAGGGTAGCTGGAAGACAATAGGCCTATCCGGTAAAATCGGTAGCAGCACATCAGGCAACTCAGTCTCGAAGAAGTCAGGATAATTCTCTCCATTTAACCGGCCCCATAAGATTTCGTCCGATAACGGCTGCCCACACGTTGACTCTGAATGGTCGTTGAAACGAGCTCTGTCTGTTCTTGTGTGGGTTTTGGCCCCGTTCTGCCAGATAATTCAGGTTGTGTATATTTTTAGGATTCTTTCGTTTTTTTTTTTATACTCCAACTACCACGAAGGCCTAAGCACCCATTGGGTACCGTGGGGCTATGGGGGATACATGGGAAAGGGGGGACGCCACACGGACTCTGGCGAGGGAACACGTGTGCATGCAACATGCACACATTCTGGCTCCGCCTACGAGAACCGCCGGGTGGTACCTCCGCGTTCGACAGTCAGAGACCATCTACCACCTACGGACAATCACAACATCCATGGCCAAGAGAAACGTTTCTCCTGGGACGGGACTCGAACCCGCACAGCGCACGGCGGCTGATCAGGAGACCAAGAGTCTACTACTGCGGCCACCGCTGCTGCCTAAAACAAACACACAACATCCATGGCGAAGGCGAGATTCGAACTCGCGGCCCGGCCGGCCGGCTGATCAGTAGCACGACACTCTCACCCACGCGGCCAACCGAGGTCCCAAAGTTTGATTAGTCCATCCATCTGCAGACCTCCAATCACCTAGAGTTATCACCGTGTAGCAGACCTGTAACAAATGCATTAATTTAGCACAATTTTACATAAGTCAAACAGGCTCAAGTGAAGTAAGTAAAATGAAATGCAATTACTTTGAACAGTGCAATAATGAAACGGATTCTACTGGTGTGTACAACAGACCAGACTTTCCACACAGACACACCCAAGTCTCTCGGCAACAACCCTAATACTTATGGTAGAACGCGCATCAGTTGCTCTTATGATTCGATCATCAACAGTCACACTGATTTCGACCACACACTCCAGGATCTTGAAATTTTAGGTTTCCAGACTCTCAGTCACATATACGTTGTTGTGGAGGTCTCATGTGCATTGAAGTTAGCAGTGCCATAAGTCAGCACCATATCAGCATCTTCCTCGTTACTGAATTTAAACATTATGACAAAAACACCGAAGTCAGGTACAGTTAAAAGTTACAATAAAACGTGACAAAAAATAACTAGAACAAACACAGAATTCACTAAGAAAATAGTACCATCAATCGCAAATTCACTTGTGATAGCAGAGATAATCAAATCTCCTTTGGGCCTGATTTGGCACTTTTTTATATATGAGAATGCTGACTGTAGTAATTGCAAAGCAATTAGCAGGTATGCTTACGAATACCCCTCTTGCAAGTTGATTTGAAGTTGTTGACTTCCGATGCCTCGATTAAATACTTTTTATAGTACTTGTAACAATTAAATTCGAATCACTCTTCAGCAAGATTGTTTACTTTCTCAAAATAGTACGAGCGTTTAAACCTTGGCCACTATTACCCTAGTATTACTATTATGCTAGACACGATATGTACTCTTCTAGCATCCTATACCTCAATTTAATGAACTCCCTTTGTATTGGATCACAGAATTATACTGGCTTTTGATTCACTTCTATAGTAATATGTATGATGTTTATGCTTTGTTTAAATTCACCACAGATCGCTTCAAAGTAATATTGCCTCATGTTTATTTTATTTTTCAACTTCTGGAATTAAATCTTACGTACTTTGTGTTTATTTGTTTACAGCTTGATCTTTATTAACAGCTCTTTTGCGCCATTCTCAGCCCTTTTGCAGCATGAGTGAACAGATGACATGCCATAGCTCTCGTGAGTACGTCCACACAGGTTAGTTCAAAAATGGTATACTTTAATAAAAATAATACAGATCCATAAAAATGTTGAACTTCCTTATGTATGTACTGTGCTGCATGAAGGCGTTTCAATCGTCAGATTGTTAAGCTTGGGGAAAAATTGTTTATACAGATGTGAAAATGCTCTAATGTAGACTGTCTACATCCAGCATCGGAAATGGAAGGACCTCTGAAGATGCTTGCCACTCGTGCTAGCGAAACGTTAGGAAGAAATTCCAACCGACGACGACCTTTAGACCCGAATCAAGACAGCAGTTTATTAGAGGCTGTGTAATGGTAATATTGGTTCAGTGGTTCCCATCCAAATGGTGTGTGATATGATAAAGCAAACGAAGACTAGTTTTCGGGTAGAAATGATTTGTAAATTTTGCATATCTGTATTTTTTTCTGTTAGAATCACAATCATAGGTAGTAGTTTGATTAATTTGAAACTTCGCACACGAATCAAGGACCGATAACAATCCAATAATTTAATAACAGTTTTTCATTATCGTTATTAGGACAGCCAGGATTGATACATTCTTTTATAGATCCTCTGTGGGCGAGTAATAGAGATAGAGCTAGCGCGCGATCTGCACATGCGTGCAGTTTCGGACTTACTCTTTGTTGGTTCGGGTTCTCGGCATAGCACAACGGAGGCAGATACTTGTTCAAGGTAGTGCACTCTCACCTTGTTCATTGCGAATGATGCCATTAATCCTGAGTTGGGCTTCGACCGTCCACAAGATGCAAGGTTGTACGGTCTATCATGCAGTCATTTATCTAGGCTCGCGACTGTTTGCTGCTGGACAAGCTCATGTAGCACTTAGTCGTGTAAGATCTTTAAACCGTATTCGGATTGAAGAACTTGATTGCTCTAAGTTAACAGGAAAAGACGCATGCAACAGTGAAGCTTTAAATGAAACGATTAGATTACGAAATGATTCTTAAGACATTTCAATACATGTCCACAAAAAACTAATTGATAAATCGAATTAAAAAATAAAAATAAATAATAGTTAAAAAAATAACTAAAAAACACGCTTTTATAGATAACCGAACTAAGAAGTTGAAAATAATTTTTAATTACAAAGAATTTATATTGTAGTAGTAAAACTTAAAGCGTGGGGTGCATTTTACTACAGTTTCATAACTCTCCTCTCATAGATAGTTGCCAATAGAATGATTGTAACATTTAATATATCAAGAATCCCAGTCTTTTACTCTGAATTGTGTTATTCTATTAATGACTTAAATTTTATTATAATTCTATTTTTATGTCATTAATTATGATAGATTGTTCGACCATCTGGTACGGTAATATAAACACTTTTTAATTGAAAATTATTTTCTAATTTTTAGTTTGGTTAGCTATAAAAGCATGTTTTTTTTATTTTTATTTTTAACTACTATTTATTTACCGCTGACAACAGCTTTATTCTATGAAATCGATTGTGATACTATCAGGAAAAATGCACGTCTGGGCTCATAAAAAATTTACAAATGCGTCCTACCCTAAGTACTACCCGAAAAAACAGCCGTCCCCTACTTTATCAAATCACACACCATTATATCGATACCCATCTAGCTCATCTTGCCTATGATGCTCGGTTGTGTAATAATCGTGGTGACATACTGCGTATGTATACTTTTAATTGAAAAAGTCCTTAATATGTCGATACCCGACTGCTGCCAACCTTTAGTTGATAATACCGATTTGGAGATATGTTCCTATTTGTCTAGACTGACAGATTCCGGCGCATAACTGCCATGTTATGGATACTGCCTAAGAGTGATGGGTGTTATAGTTATTTGGCGAATGTTGTGGTAATGTGATGGATGTTGTAGTTTTGCCGGATAATGCGGCAAGTAGGCGATGGAGTGACTACTGGTGAAAGTATGGCCGATGCAATAAGAAACTTTTGCAGGGTGTGGTACTCCGGCATTGTGGCAGTCCAATCAGTGTGTGGCGGAAAATCTCTCCCACGATACTTTTCTCTGTCATTATATTTTATTTTTGGAAGCACGTTAAGGTCTTTGAGTAAGTAGCCTATATGGTGTACGGTCCTGCTGCTGGCAACGCTGATCTGTTTGAGTCGTTGTCGTTGTAGCAGGAGTAGCCGACGGCGGCATAAACGGCGCGGCGGTAGTGGCAGCCGTCTCGACGGCCCGACGCGAAGTAGGTTAGTGCAGCCAAAGAGCGACAGAGAAAGAGAGAGCCTGCCGTCCGCGATCGCGCCGCGGCGTTTCCTGCTGCTCCTGCTGCCTTCTGACAGAATAGTGGGGGCCCCAAACACGCACACGCGGCCAAGATTGTAAAGACCATCCGCTTAGTTGTTGCTCGATCGGCTAACTGTTTGTACGTACGTCATTTCGGGCATCCTCGGCTGCGACCGCGATCGCGCCACTCCAGGCATGCCACATACACGTCGCGTCGCCCTCGTGCCATGAGCCCTGCCAATCTGGGAGTGGAGAGGTACATCGGGGCCTGTCTCATATCTCAACAGAACCATCATCGGCCCACCAATAAGCCAAGACCATCCCCGCCTCAGTCAAAAACCCAGGAATTCCTCCAGGACGTTTACAGCCACCATCAACGTCATCCGTCCTTTCGACTGCAAAGATGTCAATCGCACCAGGAGGGTTGGGCCGGTGGAATGCCTCTCATATCCTTCACAAACGCGGCCCGCCGGGCTAAAAGGGCAGACCACGACGAACTACACGGCGCTCCCCTCATCCTAGCCAAGACGTTCAACTATCGAAACAAAAAAGTGTACAAAAATAACAATGCTACGTTTCAGCAGCAAAGGCCACCGGGTACTAAAGTGTTCGAAAATTCAAACATCAAGAAACAGCATCCTCCGAGGAATAATAACAGTGCCAGTGGTCCGAGTACGGACGCCGTGAGTGTGACTAGTGATGAAAGTTCAGGATCTAATCATTCAGAGACATGCTTACCGCGAATCATCAAGCCTCGAAAGAGGCGAAAAAAGGATAAGAAACCGGCCCCCTTGCTGAGCCGACCGCTTAGCCAGGACGGATGTTTATCCACCGATAGCGCCAGTCCAGATGTAGATAAAGTTAAGACAGTTTTATTTTTGCCGTTTTCTTTGGATCCCTATACTTCGTATCGACTACCAGTTGAAGCTTCCCAAAAAATCATCGATCGATTGATCCTAGGCGATGTCGCAGAAACGCCGAAGTTACACCATGACTTTGAAGACGTTCAAGAACCTGATATCAATGGAAACCAATCAACTGTCACCTGCCAGTGTCGATATTGTGATCCTAGCGGTCAGATTTGGGATGTCGACCGGAATTGTTATTCCCCATTTTTGACTCCTCCGAGCAACAAGTCTTTCCGGTTTCCTTCCAGCTCGTCCATTTCCACCAGCTGTCTGGAACACAGTATGTCCTCAGTATCACTCGAAGAAGGAGAGGAAAATACCGCTCCTCCGCAAAAGCCAATAGGCACTCCTAGAGATCTTGAAGTTTCCACCGAAATAGTGACATCGTTGAATGGCCACAGAGACTTAGAGATCAAGTTCTTTTCGTCAAATAGTAATGGTGTCAACGAAAAAAGCACTCTGAGTAAAACGTCTAAAAGTGTACATAGTGTAGAGTTCTTATTCGAGGAGTGAATGTATTTAGCTATGTTATGATGTTCAAACTGTCAAGTAGAGTGAAGCCAAGAGGTATCTGAATGTTGTGTAAGTGAGCAATAGTGCAGTGGGTATTCCTCAACTAAAACAGGTTTTCGGTCCAAGCAGCTTGCACTAGGAACACCAAACGACCTTTTCTGAGAAAGACTCGAGGGCTCCAAGACACGAGCAGAGCCACGGTGTAGTCATTCTGATGATGACAAAAAACGAAACTAACATATAAATTCTTACCACCACAAAAAAATTATGAGAACAGATGCATACTTCGATTGGCTTACTAAAGTCTATCTTACCTCTTTTGAAATCCCTAAAGCGTAAAGAACAGAATGAACGTATTTAATAATTAAAAGAAGTATTCTTTTTCCCAAGTAATTGCAGCAACTTCTAAACCTCATAAAATGGAGACTAGAATATACATATTTCTTTCAATAAACCAGTCGTTGCACACCAAGAGGTGAATTTTCTGCTAAAGGTTCAATAAGTCTCCGATTCACTTGTTCAAAAAAGTGTCATGTGATTTAGTGGTGACAGTGCCAAGCGATATGTAGAGAAGAATGTTGGGGAGAATGGTTTTGATGCCGATTAACAAAGCAATGGATTTATGAGTCATCAGCAACATCCGCAGTATCGCAGAGGAAATTGTATCCTGCCTAGTGACCTTAAATGTTTTGATTGGGTCAAGAAACCGGTGAAGTGAAGGTGCTAACAACTGAGGCGGTTGCAACGGCAGCTAGTGTAAATAGTGTAGAGTTTGTGTACAAATAAGTAGTGATTTTTAAGGGAATTCTAAATCCATCAGGAGCGGTCTATGGACTCTATACGTAACACGATGTACTTGGAAATTCCCTGCTGCAATGGTCCAACAGGTTGTATAACCCCATGATACATGTTTGCTGTTTACATTGTTATTATGGATTTATGAACATATATCGTATGAGTGTGGCTGGCTTCTCAAAAAACGTAACTTACTTATCTCTTTTAATTATATGTTGAAGGCATGCATCATAAGCAATAACTTCAAATATAATACCTATCATACAAAATTACACTAGTCTAGATCAGAAAGCATTGCTTAGGACTTTTTAAGTGTTTATCATATTTCAAGGCATTTAAAATATAAAAACAGTATTTTTTGTGCTTACTATGTATAAATTGATCAGATCATTACGCTTCATATTACGCGCTTGGAACACTATTAATCTTGAAGGCAAAATGTTGCATCATGTGTTGTCTATGCAGGGTATTGAATGCGTATCCAAAATTTCATTGGGTGATTTTAGTAAGAAAAGTTATATCCGATAATGCTTGGAATTATGTTCTTTCTAGAAAATTCGTTTTTGGAGAAGACATTATCATCCCCAAAAATTAATGAAAAATCGCTTACGAAAAATGCGTATTACAAATTTTTATGTAGCTACATCGCCGTATTTAATCGGTTAAATTTTTCCTTATTTGGGGTTTGAATTTTACTGATGCTTTCTTCTTCTTCGATTTAATCTGCATCTCTCCTAGTCCATTTCAACAAATTTTATCACGCTAGGCTTTTCATCAATTTTTTTCCTAGAAACACCCAAGAATTCACTCTCGAAGCCAGGTGCTTTATTAATATGCCGTATATCTAAATAAATAATGATTCGCTAGCATTACTATTTAAACAGGGTTGCAGTGATTCAATCACATTTTAAAACAACGACTAAACATGCCATTTGTCGAGTACTCTGTTTTATTTATGTTTGCTGTTCTCAATCAGGTCAGGGTACTGTCGCATCTCATAAACTACAAATAACATTCGTACCACAATCTGCGACAACAGTTACAAAGCCATTTTAATGCCGCTTAGAGCACCTGTTGATGCTCGATCTAAATCATTAGATCATAGCGTTCGAGAATGACTGTTGCAAATACATTATAATAGCTTCACAAACAAGTGTTGATTATGGTGTTGTATGTATTCTCTGTGTTTTGAACGTATGACATAGAGGAATACTAATAAATTTGAAGTTTGATAAGCAGATTCCACGTCATAGTTTGGTAGCAGAAAAGCGTTTTGTTATACCTTCGTATGTATTTAGTGCAACAAAATATGTAATTAATGTATTCAACTTATATTGGTCACAACACAGTAAAGATGGGCTGTAACCATAATTTTACAATTTGCCATATTCTAGTGCACTGGCATTCAATAATTCATACTACTATTGATGAATTGAGTATTGACATATTCGACAGTATCCAATTCTTTGCAGGCATTTATTTGTACCTAAGTAGGACATACACGATAAAACAGGGTACAAACGTCAACAAAAATCGGTGCTTTAAATTTTGTAACCCTTGGAACTAAATATACAGCTTGAAGATCTTATAAAACGAAAAAGCTACAATGGAATCATCATTTTATGATTTACATTAACAATGAAGTGCTTGCTTTCTGTACAATGACCCAGCTTTCATTTTCAACAAAGTATTGTTAATTTGTAAATCTGAATTGGACACGGTGTGAAATCGAATTTCTCATTGCAACTTTCTCCAGAATAAGTGTCATTCATACTTGCCTTTCATCGCTTTATTAGAACTAAGACTCTCTCACTTTCACTTCAAACAACGTTTCTTAGCTGAAAGCAGTTATCCGCCAACAGATTTTATTTAGGTTGTAGTGCAATCCAATCTATTTTGATGACAAACCAGAAATGCTGTTCTGCTATTGAAGTCGAGTGCTGGTAAAAGTTATTGCCCTGTACTTTATTACTCAGAATGTGCTTTGGAAGATGAAGCTATTCTGAGCAATGTAGATAGTTATCATTATTGCTTATTTCATTCCTGGTTTATTTAAAGGGAAATCTGCACCAAAGGCCATAAAGAAATAGTATGTCACGTTTTTGAGAAACTAGCCATTATTGGTTTTAAATCAATACATCGTAATTCTAGATGAGTGACGAAAGAGAAAACGGAAAATTGACCGATAATAAGTATGCCTGGAACGTTTCAGGTTGGCTTTTTCATAATTTATGTAACATTCTGTGGACGACGTCGTGTTGACCAACACAGTATGCAAGCGGTACCGTGTATACGGGGTTGATGTGATAAATTCTGTCACAAAATGGCTGTTTATAATATACTCATTTGAGTCTTAACATATCTATTGACAGTTTATATTGCTGGATTGTAACTACTTGTGAATGTATATATGGAACTATTTCCATTAAAATTCAATTGATTTAGTACAGTCAACATATATTTTTCTTTTATGATTATACGATACGTTTTCGATGTTTGCGGACTTGTTTTAGTAGACTTGAGATTTATTCTTATGCAAATTTAATCCATAAAAGCATCCCCAAAAGCTCTTGAACTAGTCATTAACCTTCTCTAATAAGTCTACTGATATATTATTTTGGATATTCCGAGTTGATATATCTTAGCTGGATATTCAAGGTACGTAGGTATGGACTATGAAAGAGAATATTATGAATTGCCAATTGTTTTTAGGAATATGGCGTTCCAGAACACTAGATTTACGATTATAGTCATTGTTATAAATGTTTGAGGCTGTATAATTCAAAAATTATATTCTTTCCTATGAAATGCTATTGTTTAAGTAAACTTATACCGGAAGCTCTAGAATTGACTAACTCACTTAGCACATTTAGGGTTATACAGCCTACGTTACTTGTCTCTTTTATTTTGAGATAAATCAGTTTTGATCTCAATGAAGTATTTTTGCCCTCCTCTTCGTGGTCTGCTTCCTAATTTCCAATACAATAAAGTAGAAATACAGTTTGAGTTTATATAATGCATTGCCAATCGCATCACTCATTAATCAGGCGTATGGGTGAGGTTGGTCTTTAATCTGTAAAAATGAAAACCGAAGTAACATTTATATCGTTCATATATTGAATTATGACAAGTTCCGTAAATGGATCATGCGTCTCAGGATAAAAGTACAAAGATGATGTAGTGAATCTAATCTAAGACATGTTTAGCTTCTTTAACAGTTTTAGAAAGTGGAGAAAAGAGAGTACGAAGGTTCACAGTAAAAATTCAATTGTTATTTAAATGATTGTTCAAGGTTTAGCTATTCGTTATAATTATTTCATTAACCTTCCATTATTATAGAATCCGAAAGAGCGAGAGGAATCAAAGGCTCAGATCACTTTTAATTAGTCTCAATTGAGCTGATATTCAAAAACGTTTTTGTTATCAAAGGCTTTCGTGATATTCAGGCTAATAGAATGATAGAAAGGTACGCAAATATTTGAGCGGGATACAGTATTCACTACGAATTGATAGTAGTTTTAGACTGCGATAGAAACTATACTATACCATTCACATTCTATATTATTCAACGAATAAAAAAAGCTACAAGGAGAACCGCATTATATTGTAGTTAAAGAGATTATAATTATGTTGAAACTATTTAATGATCGCTAGCATCTTATAAATGTAGGTAATATATTTTACGCACCTCATTATATTTATCTTGGCGTCAAATTCTTGAAAGAAGCTACCATAACAGTACCACCAGCCAGGTAAAATTAAATTCTCCACTACAGTAAATCGGTACTAACGATATGACTAAACACGGTAAAACTTTTTGATAGCTAAGAAAAATTACTGATAAAATATGCTACTGGGAGGCAAAACTAATAAGATTTGTTGCAAGTGTTGAAAACCCGCAACTACATCGGTGGTAGATTACCGCCCACAGTTCAATTTTTATTTTAATAGGGGATAAGGAATAAGCAGCTGAGTCTGAAGATTTGTCTCAAGGCATTTATTTCTCGTTTATCAACAATTAGTTATCAAAATTATTAGTATCTAATCTGTAAGAACCTAGATGACTTTTTAACAGAAGACTTTCTGTTTTCGGAAAGCTTTACTGAGCTACGAACGACTAACCATTTTGGAACTGATCTATTTACTGACTGAATGTTCAGTCTCTCATAGACCTGAATACGTATTTTGGTAGCGACATTACAAAG